ATATTATTATTATGACTTAATTCTCATATTTAAAAAAATTCTCGTAGTCTGGCCCTAATATTTCATCGTACGCACAGCAGGCCTCAAAACGTCCTCCTGTCTTTATTTTTTTTGTTTGAACTCCTCGTCTCCGCAGTGCGAGAAAGGAGGCAGGAAGTATTTCACCATCGACGACGGGGCGACGCTGTTCATCGACCTGCTGCAGCTGGTGGACTTTCACCGGATCAATAAGGGCATCCTGCCCGTGTGCCTGAAACACCCGTGTGTCTGCGTGGCTCTGTGAGCGCCGCCGCCATCAGCAGCAGCCTCATCATCGCACACTGATGAAGCCGTCAGAGGAGGAGATGAAGCATGTCGGCCGTCCCGCCTTCGTTTAGCTGTTTTTAATTATTTTCCACAACACGCGCCGCTTCCTGACGCCGGTTGGGTTTTCATCCTTTAATTAACGAGCAGCCGTCCCCTCAGAGAYGGGTTGATTAGTCGTGTTGGACAGACGTTTTGAGCCGAGGGGTACGTTCGGAGACGGAGGACTGAGAACTTCATTTGACTGATTCAGCAGCAGGGATCAGTGAAGGAACKTGTCCACCAGGGGGCGCTCTAAGTCTGACCAATGAAGGAAAAAAGCTGCAGAGTCTCTGTTTATTTAATTTAAATAGAATCAGCTTTAATTTATCCAACAAGAAGAAGTGTTTTGTTTCTCTGTTTGCCCAGATTCTGGGGAACTCCAACAGGTTTACATCGAAGATAAAAATATTAGTTTTATCTGTGTGGAAGTTTAAACTTGTTTACCTCTAAATGGCTCATGAAGAATGTCAAACAGTCTCCTCGTTTACTGCAGAGTTTTTAGAAAATAAAAATATYTATATTTAATTAATGATTTAAGTTCTTGTACGTAATGTGTTTGCAGATAAAAGTATTGAAGGAGTTTGATTTTAATACTCAGGGTTAAAATGAATCAGATGTTTCATAAAATACGATAAAATATATTTTTAATTTCTTGTATGACATGAATTCTGTAAAAGAAATGTAAATAAAGACTGTAATTATTTGCAAATCTCATTTTGTTTACAGTGGGACAAAATGAACAAGTCAAATGTTCAAACTGGGAATGTTTGAAAAGTATGAAGTTACTCATACAGAGTTACTTAAACAGAGCAATGTTGTATATGCTGTTAAGTGCCAGGAGGACTGCGACCAGTTATACATCGGGGAAACAAAGCA